CCGCGTTCTCCCTCGCCTCCAGGGGAAGCCTCCCGTTTCGGTTGGTGGTGCCCACTTTCAACACCTGCCACGCCCACCGCGGCAGGCCTGGGAAGGGCTTCGTCCTTTTGGATTCGTTCGCCCTGAGCAGAGCAGAGAGGAGGAGGAGGTGGAGGGGCAGGAGGAGGAGGAGGAAGAAGAGGAGGAAGAAGAGGAGGAGGGACACATTGACCTGGAATCGGCGATACATCGCCGATAGATCGGCGACATGCCCCCGATCGTGAATCTGCACACTGCTGGGCAAGTTCGGGCTATCGGGCCACTATCAGCGATCAGTGGGCGATTGGGTGTCGATGCATCCCCCCCTATGCCTATCCCCCCTCGCGCTGCCCCCGAGCCCAAACCTCCAACATCGTCATTCTTCAATCCGTGGCTCCTGGATCGGGGCTCCTGACCGCTTCTCTGGGGCTGTTTGTTCGTCCCGGGACTGCATGTTCTGAACGCGGCTTATTTTTGTTCCACCTCCCCCTCTCTACCCGCCTCTTTTAGTGCCCGTTTCGCCTCCGGAGCGTCCCACCCGTCGCTCGGCCAGCGTCTGACCTTTCCTGCGCCCGCGGACCAAACACGCTCGTCCCGGGGGCGGGGGCCCGAGTTGAGAGACGGCCCCCTCGGGCGGGATCCAGCTCGAGAGAAGAGCGCCAGCAGGAGGCTTAGCACAGAATAGGCATCGGAGGTCCGCGGACGGGCGAGAGGGGGGGAGGGGACATTCTGAGGCCAGGGTGCTTCCTAACTTCTTACGTGGGGGGCCCTCTCCGCCTTCCGAGAGGCCTTCCTCAAAACCTCCATGCCCTCCTAAGAAATGATTATGCCCTCTTGGAAGCTCGTCCCCCTCCTCGCCCCATCTGCTTTCGCGCGCTGCGAGCCAAGTCTGACGATGCCAGCCACGAACGTCTCGAACAAAAACGGTACCCACCCCCTTCTATCCTGGCAAACTGTCCGAGCCGCGTCCAGCCGTGGCGACGAGAATCGGGTCCTGGAGATGAGCTCGAGAGTGAGGGTGCCCCGTCGTGAAAATATGATGGCGTCGGAGGTCAGGGGAACGATGAGCACGTCTGATAGTCATTATTCAGCGGCTTGATGACTCCACGTGAAGTGTGTACCCATTTCCGAGGCGCGGCGGCGAAGGCTCACGCCTCCTTGGCCGTCGGCACTACTGCTGCAGCCGATGTGTCGTACGCACACGGCGTATTTGATCATATCGCCAATCGATTTAGTCAACTCTGCCTTCGGGCCTCCGATTCTGCACAAAAGCGGATGGACAAAAGCTTGACGCCAACATGTTTAGAATATCGCACCAGCTCCAGCATGCCATCTGACAGCACAAGGAACTGGCCACGAGCATCCACGGGCCGTCAATGCGAAGACTGTCAAGACATGTGCCCCACCCCTGACATATATCAGTGTTTCATGTCCTGGAGCCACCGCCACGCTGTTGTCCACCCAGGGGAACCTGCAATCCCTTATAAGAAGGAATGCTGGCTGGAAGAATTATCCGACCGGCCCGTACGACTCATTGCGATGACCGCTCACCACTTTGGACTAGACTCCTGGGAGCTCCCTCACCAAGAGTAGCCTCGAGAACCTTGCAAAAGTTGCGCTCTTACGCTGGCATGACGCCTTTGCGTTCTCAACCCTCATGCACCACCTCCAAAGCTTTTGCCCTTCCGTGGAGAAAGATGTTCACTCGCACTACTTGTGTATGGGGAGGTATATGACCCAATGATATTCCGACACGCCCGGATACGATTCTGCAACAGGCCTTTCCGAAACAGGTGTGCGCCCTTGATCTGCAAGGCAACTGACAACAACATGCATGAGGGCACTGTAGGAGTGGAACCTATTCGGAGCGCCCGCCCGAGCAAGCTACGCCGAACAACTTAAAACATGCGCCGAACGCTCACAAAACTGGCTGGCGCAAAAGACAACAATAGTGAGTACAACCGTATTTCAAGCGGGACTACCGCAATAGGTCACATCTGGAACATGAAACAAACACCTACAATACTCCCCGCGACGCATCGTTGGAGAGAGGCGCCCCGGCATTGTCAGGCGCTGATCGAATCTCTGTGGCGCTACTGCAAAATGGCCAACTGTGCGTGGGCTCCGCGCGTCAGCGCCTCGCCAGTGGCACAGGGCCGGCGCACAAGCGCGGAACAGAACAGCGGATGAGGGGAACGGGGGGGGAAAGTTAGTCGAACATTTTCCCAGTGATAGCTAACAGGACCGAGGCGATGGCGACGGCCAGGGCGGCGATGACGACGGTACTGGCGCATGCGCCGACGACAACGCCCGCGACGACGACGACGGTGGCGACGGCGACGGTGACGGTGGTGGTGGCGGCGGCGACGGCGACGGCGCCAGCAAAGGCGACAGCGGCGGCGGCGGAAATGGCGACGACCGCGGCGGCGACGGCGACGGCGCTGGCGAGGGCGACAGCGGCGACGGTGACGACCACGGTGGCAACGGGGACGGCGACGGAGGCGACGACGGCGACAGCGACGTCACACACTTCTTTCTGTTCCAATTGCTGGAACGCCCTCGCACGGTAAAAATGTGCTGCTGGAGCGCACGCCAAGGGCCGCCGGAGCGCCCTCCCTCGGTGAAACTTCAGTGCTGGAGCGCACGGCGTGGGCCGCTTGTCTGGTGGGAGTTAAATGCTGGAGCGCATCCGCGCTATCGGCATGGGCTGCCGGAGCGCCCTCGCTCTTATCAAGAAGACAGGGGCGCAGGAGCGACATCCTATATATGGCTTTGCCAGAATGATTGGAGCGCGGCGGCTGGGGGTGCTGGCATTTCACTCACGCCTCGTGCGCAGATCGCAGAAGGGCTACGGACGCAGCGAGGACTTAAGCGTGAATATCGCCACAGTGATACCCCACATGCTCATGCGCCTTACGCTTCCACAGCCAAGAAATTCCACTGACTGGCCTGCCAGTGGAATATTTAGCTCATGAGAACTCATGGCCAAATCTTGAAGACGGCCACGGCGGCGCGGCGCCAACGACGACGCCAGCGGCGACGACCGCGGCGGCGACGGCGCTGGCGAGGGCGACGGCTGTGACGGTGGCGACCGAGGCGGCGACGGCGACGGCGACCAATGCGACAATAGCGACACACACACACACACCTGTTTTCTGCTCAAACTGCTGGAGCGCCTTCGCTCGATAAAAATGTAATGCTGGGGCGCACGTCGTGAGCTGCTGGCACACCCGTGCTCGGTGAAGATGCCGCGCTGGAGCGCCCGCCGTGGTCTGCTAAGGCGCCCTTGCCTGGTGAAGATGCAGTACTGGAGCGCACGTCGTTGGCTGCCGGAGCGCGCTTCCGGAATAAGAATCACATGCTGCAGCGCATCCTGCTGGAGCGCCCTCGCTCGACAAAGATGGGGCGCTGGAGCGACACCACGTGTAGGGTCCTTGAAGTCATCAACAGGAAGAGGGGGTAAGGGGAGGGCACGGCGGCTGGGGATGCCTGCAATGCGCTCACGCCTCGTTCCCCAAAGGGCTACGAACGCAGCGAGGGCTGGGGATGCTAGAGCAGTGCGCTTGCGCCTCGTTTACAAAAGGGCTACGGGTCGCAGCGATGACTCGAGCGGGAAGATCGCCGCAAAGAGACCCAGGTACACACATATGCGACGTACACTCCCAATACCATCAATATTCGACTGACTGTGGGAAGCCCCTGGGCCTCCCAGACCCTTCCAGACTCTCCCAAGAACCTCTTCCCTCATGTTTTCTCCTCTCCCCCTCCCCCTTCTCTCCTCCTCCTTCCCCATCCTCCCCCTCCCCCTCCCCCTCCTCCTCCTCCTCCTTCTCCTCCTCCTCCTCCTCCTCCTCCTCCTCCTCCTCCTCCTCCTCCTCCTCCTCCTCCTCCTCCGTCTCCTCCTCCTCCTCCTCCTCCTCCTCCTCCTCCTCCTCCTCCTCCTCCTCCTCCTCCGTCTCCTCCTCCTCCTCCTCCTTCCCCTCCTGATCCTCCTCCTTTCCGTCCTCTTCCTTCCTCCTTGTCCTCCTCGTCCTGAGCGCGACGGGCCCTGCGATTCGCTGTCGCACCGCCCCGAAGGGCCGATCTCGGATGCGATCCGACAGGACGCAGCATCAGCATTCGCATGGGCTGCACTAGCCTCCTCCTCCTCCACCTCCTGATTCTCTTTTTTGACGTTGCGTAGACTCGACGCAACAGCATGTAGCGTTATTATTCCGCCTCCTCCTCCTCCGCCCCCTCCTCATCCTCCTCCTTCTCCTCCTCCTCCTCCTCCTCCTCCTCCTCCTCCTCTGCATGATGGGAGGAGTGCGAGGGACTCAATTCGCAGCCGCTCCGTCCCGAGGGCCGGATGTGGACGCGACGAGCGCAGAGGCAGGCGCAGCACTCTCGCACGCGCGCGCGCTGCCCTCCCCACTCCAAGAGAGAGAGAGGGAGAGAGAGAGAGACAGAACAAGGGGCGAGTGCTGACGGAACGGAGGCGCTCCTAGCCCCAGGTGTCCCTTAGGGTCACCAGGGGGGGCCGCTACACGGCCTCCAGAGTGCCCCACGAGGCCCAGGAAGCCTCTGGAGGCCCCCTTTACGTGGGCAGAAGGCCGGGGGCCACACTGGGCAGGAGGCACTTCTGTCATCAGCCGAAAACGAGGTGCCCGCGCCAAACGCGCGGGGCATGGCAGTTTGCGCTGGGCGCGCAGGTCTGACCGCCTACCAGACCACCCCAACCCAAACAGAAGACCCAAAGTTTGGGTTGGGGGGGGTACGGCTTCCACATGTGTTTTCTTGTCAGCGTTCCCCGCTGACGTCCCGCCCCACTGGGAATGGAAGGCAAATGGGGCCTTCGGGTTGGGTTGGGCTGGGGTGCTTTGGTAGGTGGTGAAGGTCAGACCCTGCTGAGAATCAACAGAGAGGGGCCCCCGAACGGACCCCAGCGCCCGAGGGAGCGTCAGGAACATGGCAAATATGCGCAGAAGGGCGCTTACGGCTCGTCATATTCGTATCTTGACGCCGTTCTGGCCCCCGTCTCTCAGCAGCTTCGCCTGCGTCCGGAGGTCCTCGAGACAGCGGGCGACGCAACGGCTAAGGGAGGTGTGTTGGGGCGGACCAGCCCAAATAATGGTGGGAGCCTCGGCTGACCCTGGGACGCATTCTTCTGCCCCTCTCTGGCCTCTGTTTTTTCACATGGCAAGATGCTGGCTCAGGGGAACGTTGCCGCACTCTCGTCGTATATTACAATCAACATTGTACGCGCAACGATATATGTAAGACGTAACGTGCTCAGAAAATCTCCATCGATCACGGGTGAACGGCAAAGCATTTTTGTATCCAAATTTATCTCCTCTCTATCTCTGTGCCTATCCCTCTCCCCCCTCTCTCACTCGCTCTTTATCGTTTTCTTTTTCTGTCTCTCTCTCTCTCGTTGTCATCCCTTCTCTCGCTCATTCTCTACAACTCGAAATAGTGGCGCGCCTCAACTTCAATACGGGGCAAGAAGGATGAGAGGCAAGGCTCCCTTGTCAATGGGCGCATGTGACCATCCAGAGTGGGCGTGAGGTCGGCTGGATGGGTGGGCTGGTGGGCGGAGAATAATGAAGCGAATAAGGTCGATAGGGGTGGCAAGCTGAGCGAGGGACTGTACAAGGGCGGATGAGATGGAACGGTGGGTGTCAACGATGGTCCAGAAACATGTGGGTGGGTTGGAGAAGCGTGGATGGGTTGGAAGGTGGAAAAGTGGACGGGGAGAGGATAAGGTGGATGCGGTCCAGAGGCGGCGAGTCGAACATACTTGTTCGGTGGCAGCGATCCACAGGGGGGTCCCTTCGTGCTCGCCGCATTACCGTTGACAGCAGGCCCTGCTAATTCACGTCTGGCGCCACTCTGCCCTCAAAGCCACGCAGATTATTCGTCTTTCCTTTGTGAAGGGGCCAGGTGGGATGACTGATGCGCCCCTAACACGGCAGGATCCCCGAACTAGACTAATATCACATTAAATTAAGTCAAAAAGGCTCGTGTGACCCTGATCGGACAAGCATGTTAAATAGCGGCAGCATGCCTCTAGCTAGAGCCGACGAGGTCTTGAGGTCACTGGTGGCCAGACGGACCTGCTCGCGCAGCTTGTCGTTCGTGATGGCGTCGTCGCCCTTGATCGTGTCGAGGTGCGTCTTGAGGGCCCGGTGGTTAGCCTCTCCGCGCGCGACTCCTTGCTGCGCCACGCCCCCTATCAAGGCCGGTGGGGATGCGGGGATGAGCTTGTCCAGCTTGGGCACGGGATCTTTCTTTTTGATCGCGTCGGCGTGGTCCTTCCTCAAGCTCTGGGCCTCTTGCGCCAGTAGTAGCGGCCCGTCGATTGCCTTGCTCGCGACATCCCGTGCCGCGCAGCGATGTGAGTAGGATGATACACCACCGCCTGCAGCACATCGATCGCCTGCGAGTTTTTGGGGGACGGCCGAAAGATGACGGGGAATAGAGCTCGGGCCACTGGGATGGGGATCGCCTGGCCTTGCAAAGGAACGATTTGTTCAGCTGTCGTAAGAATGTCGCGTCGGCTCCGTCGAACAACTCCGCCAGCGCCACCGCTACCGAATGATCTCCGTCTGCCTGTGGGCCTCGGCAGCCTGGCTGCTGCTGGGGCTGCCCGCCTTCGGCGATCCCTGCGGCTGCCTGTCGGCGCATCCCGTCTCTCTGAGCTGCTCGCTGTCCGCCGCGTCCGCGTCTGGTCTGCCGACCTCCCCCTCTCTCCCCCCGCTGCGAGAGCGAAGCGCCAGGTCGGTTCTCCGCGCTGGCGGGGAGGGCGCGCCTTGCCGTGTTCATCCTCCTGGAAGTCACGACAGCTGTAGACCAAATTAGGGGCGGGAAGAGGAGCGCGCGCGTCGGATGTGAAGCTGGAGCTCAAGCGAGGCAGCGAATGGCCCCGCGCGCCGGAAGCCTTCGGAAGTGCAGCCCAAGATATGCGGCATGGCAACAGCCAAGGCTGCACAAACCGAATAATGGAGGTCTTCGGGTACCACTACTTCTGGAACGTACGGCGAGAGGTCGCACTGGCGCCGACGTCTGCGTCTGGGTTGCCCAAGATGTCTCCGTGCTGTGACGATGCTCCTGAGGGTGCTCATGCGCGTGGAACAATTGTTCGCGATGATGGGCTGACGCGCTGGAGCTCTCATTCCGCGTGGCGGATGACGGCGCTGATGTGCGATGAGCCCGCCCTTATTGTAAACAAACCCATCTCGCACTGCCCATCTTCCCCATCGCCTGCTCGATCACGTGCGCGTTCCTGCGGGGGCTCGTCCGGGGCTCCATTGCGGGGTCCACGGGGTCTGCGCGTACTGCTGTTCTCAAGAACTCCACGCGTTTGCGACCTCAAGGGCAGTGGAAATGTTTCGCGCCATGTGGGGCGAGACAACTTCCTCGCCTCTCTCGACCTGGGCGGCCCAGTGGTCTGGCAATGCTCGCGACGGCGCCGGCCCCTGCAACGCGGCGCCCTCGCCCAAGCCGTCGAGCAAGCCGAGAAGAGCGGCGATGACTTGAACGCGGTCCTCAAGAAATCGGACTGGGCGTTGCCGCTGTCTTCATCCTCGCACCGGCAATTCCCCATCGAGCGTCGGTCAGTCTCAGTTGCGTCGCCAGCTGGTTCTAGGACATAGACCTAGGATCACATCATCTATCCTGCGATGGCCCAGCTGAGCTGGCGAAGCGGTTTCCAAGCCCGAGTGCGCCGCGCTCGCGATCGTCTCCGTGGAAGGCACTCGCTTAAGTCGGACCGAGTGCGTTGCGCCCCGCAGTCTGCCCAGCCTCCTCCAAGCCGTCCTCGTAGCATCCGCCCTCCTCTTGATCCCAACCCCGCCCCCCCTGCAAGTTGCCCCATTCCTCCCAGGTGCACCTCTCCGCCGAAACAGCTCCAGGTAGCCATGGAGTGCTAGAGAGCAGCGCTCTGGTGGCAGCGTGCGCCCCAGGGCCCGCCGTCGCTGACGGGCACTTCTCCCTGCCCCTATCCTGCGCAAGCCCTCCTCCTCTTTCCACTTCTCCATCGAGCATCGCTTTGGAAGCCTGCGCTGTCTGCTTGGCCTCCAATGGGTTGAGCTGAGACAACGGTGAAGTCTGATGGATGTCACCTGCGTGATCTCTCGTTAAAGCGCCATGCATCATGTCGGTGACAACGCAAGTCGCGACGCTGGCTGCTCTTGCTAGCGGCGCGCTGCCCGAGGTTTGCCCTCGCGGGAACTGCGCGGGGGCCCTCGAGCAGCCTGTCCAGCCAGCGCATCACTGGCCGCAGGAAACTGCTAACAAGTAGCGCACGGGCGCTCCCATGCCCCACCCCAGACCCATGAGTTGACTGATAATGCCCCGTCTGCTCCCCTGCTCTGATCTCTATTGCCGCTTGGGGTGACGCTGGCACAGGAATGCCCCATCCTAAGGGTGCCCCGCGACCCCCGTGACCGCGCGAGTGAGCTCGTCGCGAGACACGGAGTGGATTGCGTTCGACATGTCTCCCTCTAGCAAGAGGTGTGAGACCCTGGGCTTCTTGAGCCGCTAGCTGTGTATTTTGGCAGCCGTCTGAATTTTCTGCCGACGTCAAAGTGCAGCGCATATGCGAGTGCGCGGTGGGAGAAATGTTCGACGACTTCGAAGAAACGGACCACGACGCCAAGCTCTTCAGAACGGGCAGTCGCAGCGAATGAGACGCATGTCCTTGGCGCCCTTCTTGAGGTTTCCCAGTGGCTGGCGAGTGCTGCTCCAATGCCATTGGTGCGGCGTGCGCATCTTTGCTCGGAGCTGGCAGAAGAATCGCAGCGGGCGTTCAATCAAACGCGGGCAGGCTACATGTAGGCGTTGCTGTGCACGCCAATTTCTCTCCCACCAGGGTGATTGACGCACGGCCGCTCTCCTGTCATCTCTCGGGTCACGTGGTGCAACAACCAACGCCGCAACTCCGCTTGGACCGGCTGCTCCAATGAGAACATCCTCCTCGCTGCCTCTCAGCTGCGACAAGGTGTGAAACCAATCATCGTATCCCAGCGGTGCTGGAGCTCCATTGTAAGGTTCGATACCTTCACCAGCAAGTCGATCTAGTTCGAGTTGAGCTGCGTCCGATGGGCTCTGGAGTACTACTGCGCTGGATCTTCCATCTCGCGACAGCGCCCTCACGGTCTCCTCCCACTCTATCGGTTCGGCAGGTACGCGTCGGGGACGTAGAAGGAGCGCTGGCGTGGGCCTCTGCGTCTCTGCCCGATCGCATAGTTGACGCGCCAAACTCAATGTGCGTCGGCAGCACCTCGATGTACTTCAGCTTCCTGCGACAATCTCTAAGTGTACCCTTCTTCTATGTGTATATATATAGAGTAGCTTGCTCTTGACTGCCTTGGTTACTGCCGATCTGTCAAAGGTGAAACACTCTCTCTCTCTCTCGCACTACTCCCCCTGCCAAGTACTTCTTTCCTCTGAAAGATGCGTCCTCGCAGGGGATCTCTCTGTGATGTCCTTGAAGCTTCTGGCATGTCTATGAAGCTTCTGGCAGGACTGCGGTTTTGACGTCGTCAGCAACGCTGCCCACGGCGCTGAGGGATCCGACCTGGCTGCCTGGCCGCCGGATTTCTCAAGCGCGCCGCTTATCAAACGAAAATAGTCCCACGTCAGTCGAGATGGGGCTCCAAAGGTGCAGGTGTGCTTGAGCAGCTTGGATAAGAAATCGCGACCCCACTGAAGACCGCCAGGTAGCTCTTGATGCACTTCAAGAAGGTAATCTATTTCCCACAACAGCGGGGCGCATAACCGCGGGACCTGCTGTCGGGCACCAGTTGAAGTTGATTCATGCGTTTCTCGAATGATCGGCACTGTCTCGTTGCTTGTACTGCTACTGCTGGACTACGGATGTGATGTGGCGAATTCTGCGAGCTGGCTCTAAAGCGTGTAGGGTTAACAAGGAAGAAACTGGCGACGACAGTCACGTCTTCCATCACAAGGACCCTCCAGATCTCAGCTGGCACCCCCTGGCCCCCCACCGTGAGCCGTCGGGCCAATGTGTCGAAGGTCGAACGGATCATGCCTTGTCCAAATGTTATCGTTCCGACTTGTCAGTTCGCGCGGGGGCCAACAGTCGCAAATGATCTCTGTTTCGCGCTCTGTCTTGAAGAACGAATCCATAATACCAGCCTCTTGCACGTGCGTCGCCAAGGATCAGCTTTATTTCATGTCGTACTGGCCTGATCGAATCCGCACAAGTCCTTCCCGCAGTGCAAGGTCGCGAAGCGGATGCAAGATCTCCACGATGTGTTGTCTCGTGATGGCTTTCTTTCTGGAAGTTCGTGTATCCGCCTCTCTGCCTTCCGAATCGTATGGCCTCGTGCGTGTCGGTGTGAACCGTCGTAACTGGTTATGCCATATGTTGCCCCTGGGTGGTCACTGGGCACAACGATATCGGCAAGCTTCAGTCTCTCGGAGATCTCCTCTGCCCCCCCTGAGTCTGCAACATGCAGTGGGCTGCGCGGATCAAAATTAAAGATCGAATTCCACATGTAAATAGCAATCGGGCAGACTTAAAAGAAGGTGGGGTCGCCCCCCCCCCATCCCAGCTCGTAAGCGGTAAAGGGGAAGCCGCAATCTTGCGCGGGGTACCCGGTGGGCCACGGACCTGAGCATATGGGCTGAAGGCGATGATCTCCGGCGTCTTGGATCCGCAGCACACACCTTCATGACGAGCCCTACGTCAGCTCGAAGGACAGCTCGAAAAACATCTAATCGGACAGGTCGGTCTGGTCATACGTCCTTGTCTCTCGAAAGACGCCATGCTGCCCGTCCCTATGTTACCTATGCTGGAACCCGACGTCAGCTCGAAAGACAGCCCTGACGGCGGGGGGGGGACGAGAAGGAGGAGGGGAGGAGGTGGTGGTGGCTGGCCTGAGCGGCGGGAACCGAATCAGAAATGATCGCCGTGCGAAGCTTCGGAGCCTTCGCCCGGGCCCTCGGTGGCGCGACGCCTCCCCAGGGTTCTCACCACGAGGAGGGGGAGAAGGAGGAGGAGAACGAGGATGGGAGGAGGAGGAGGAGGAAGAGGAGGAGGAGGTGAAGGAGGGAGGTTCCTTACTAAGCCTCGTTCGGCCTTAGATATGGTGATGACGCTGAACAGCGTCTATACGTGCCAGGGCAATATATCATATGTAAGCGGGCACCCCGCCGCCCAATCTCGTCAACGTAAGTCCAAACAACGCCATACCACTCGAGAGTGCGCGGCTGGGGGACATGCGCAACATGCCATCCGTTCTGCACCGTACCGCCCTCTTGGCGACTCCATGATAGGCTTAGGCCCGACCAGCCAAAAACTACTATTCGAAACAACTTCAAGCCAAACCACACAGCATGTTCAGTCGTTTCGCACTGCGCTGCTCTCACCATCTCAGATTTGACAGCTCAAGAGAAGAAACACGCATCGCAACACTGGCCGTGCACTATAATTACTCGCCGGGCAGCAGCTTGTTGAAAACATCGGACTTCGTAACATTGGCCCTGCACGGTCGTGTGCCACCGCAGGCTCCAGCATTGTCACGATAGGGGGGGTACTGGAGGTGTGGAAGTGGTGTGGTGGAGGGGACACTAGGGACTTCCTTGCCGTCGCCTGCAAGTCGACCACCCGATGCCCGTGAGGGCTTCCCTACTCACTTCTCTCCCCGCCTAGTCTACCAGTGTGATAAGGGATCGAGGTTGCTTTTCGCACACGGATGTCGAAGTAAGGGATTGACTTCGCCGTTTAGCATCTTCAAACGCAGTGCCTCTGCCAGGCAACTTCGGCGCCAAGCACAAGGATAACGAGGATTAGGAAATGGAGGGGGATGTGGTCCTGCTCGATCTGCGACAGCTCCTCATATCCGTTGGACTTCTCGCGAAGGTTCCTGCTAGCGAAGAGAAGAGAAGCACGGCCCATGCGAAGCCGAACGTTCACCAACGTTGATAGCGGGGCGGGGCCCACTTGGACCCGTTGGAGATGATTCGGGGCACCGTAAGCTAGGGGTTTGCACACCAAAACTTCGCCAAATCAAACTGGAGAAGAACGAGAACGGATAATGCTTTGACGCACGGCCGCAACCGTCTCGGGCGTGCCAGATGTCCTGGTCTGTCAGAGTCGCAGCTTACGGCGCCCTGACTCTTCGCAACGCCCGCATCCAGCTTGAAGCCCCCCCCCTGCTGCTGGTAGACACCCAAATGTTCGACGTCCTGAGTTCCCACGACGGCCTCCGAAACCTCGATCCCGGGGAAAGGGAAGGGCATCGATTCTGCTGCTCCCCAGACCCGTATCCTAGGGTGCTACCTTGCCCTACCCCGGAAACCATGGGTTCAGGTCGGGCACGTCCTCCTACAGGCGGATTTTGGAAGAAAGCGAATCTTTGTCCCAAAATCATAGAATAGCATCCTAAGAGCACGAAAAATCGCCACTAACATACTTCTTGACCATTCTTGAGGATTCCTCCTGCAGAGGGACGTGCCCGACTTAACCCTGGGTCCAGAAATCACAAACCCCTCAACAACATCCAGCCGCGCTGCTCGAGGCGCCGTGATCTAGCCCTGGCGTCTGACGCATGCTGGCGAAAATGGCGGCAACAAAGTGTGGCCGTTTTTGCTGCCGTGGCCGAGGCGGGAGGAGGGAGACGCGAGGCGAGGAGGACAGAAGCGAAGCGGGGGAGACAGATCATGGCGCTGTGTGTGTATCCCCACACGGTCTAACCGACCATTCATACAAAAAGGTCCGTACCGCTTTTGCTCCTGCAGAGGGACATGCCCGACTGAACTAGAAGAATAACAAACCACATAAACATGAACTTTTGGCGCTCCGCGCGGATTTCTTGAATTCGCGCTGGATCCGCGCGCCAAGGGCGGCGCGGGGGGCCCAGGCGCGGATCCAAGAAATCCGCGCGGAGCGCCAACAATCTGTGTTTATGTGTTTTTTGTTCCTCTTCGATCCACCCTGGGTCCAACAGTGTTGACGTGCCGCTCTTGCTCCCACCTTCCCCTTGGCGGGCCCGCCGCTGCTCTCCCTCCTCCAGCCCGTTCTGCCGAGGGCGAGGCACGCCGAGGGAGCGACGTCCTTCCCGGAGCGGGCCGCCCCGAGAAGCCCCGCGGGCATCCAGGAGGGGGGCTCGCAAATCATGGCCCGAGGCCCTCCTCCCCAGGGGGGGGGGGTCCCTTTTCCTCCTCCTTCTCCTCCTCCTCCTCCTCCTCCTTATCTCCACCTCCTCCTCCACCTCCTCCTCCTCCTCCTCCTCCTCCTCCTCCTCCTCCTCCTCCTCCCCCTCCTGGTCGTCGTCGGCGGCACTGGCCGTCAGGCCTTCACAATCATGGTCCGAGGCATGTGCGCCGCCCAGGGGGGGGGCCAGGAGGCGTATTGAAAGAAGAACAAAATATGTTTATTCCGAAACAGAAGAATAACACTAGTAGAAATACCGAAACTAATAACCATAACAATAACACTGGCAATACGGAAACTCATCCTAGTGATATCAATCGTCAAGGTGTTATGATACTACTGATAAGAGTACTCAGATTGACAAACCAAGTAGCAATTATAGACTTATTCGTATTATATATAATACTACTACTCAAACATATAACGGCCATGCTACTACTACTACTACTACTACTACTACTACTACTACTACTACTACTACTACTACTACTACTACTACTACTACTACTACTACTACTACTACTAGGGTCAAACTTCACCTTCGTGTCTACTAAGAATGAATGGGTAAGGGTAAGGGTTTCGGGTTCGGGTTCGTGGTTCGGGTTCTACACAGTCATATAAAACCAAATAGAATAACATAGAATAGTCGGATTTTAATCGTACACGAAGCAGAAGTTCGGAAACCCACAATTTCGCCATTCGCTGATGGAAAACAATACAGGGGCTATAGACCTAATAGTACACGAAGATGAGGTTCGGAAGCCCACTGATTCTAATAGTACACGAAGAGAGGGGTTCGGAAACCCACAATTTCGCCGTTCGCTCGTAAGAAAACAATACAGGGGCTATAGAGCCAATAGTACACGAAGGTGAGGTTCGCAAACCCATTGTGGAAGACGAGAAAACAGCGTTCCTCTTTTCCTGCTCGCTTTCCTCTTCCTCATCCTCCTCCCCCCCTCCTCCTCCTCCTCCCCTTCCTCTTCCTCCTCCTCCTCCTCCTCCTCCCTCTTCCTCCTAACCATCACGAACCAGAAACGAATAAAACCAGAATGCGCTCCCGAATAAAACCAGAACGACGTCCTTATGAAAACCCACTCTCAAGTGGACCAGAGGGCCACGATCCTCGTGAGGGGTGTTCCCGCATTGGGCGTCGGTGGGCCGTCGGCAGCGCTCCACAGTGGGCCAGGGCCACGATCCATGTGAGAGGTGTGCCGAACTTCAGCGTCGGGCGGCGATCCAAATGTGGCGAGGTCTACGATCCGTGTGAGGGGTGCGCCGATATTGCTCATCGGTGGGCCGTCGGCAGCGCTCCCAGGTGGGCCAGGACACGATCCTCGTGAGCGGCGTGCCGGAATTGGACGTCGGTGGGCCTTCGGCAGCGCTCCCAATTGGACCAGGGCCACGATCCTAGTGAAGTGCGCGCCGGAATCGCGCGTCGGAGGGCCAGGCCCACGATCCTCGAGAGGGTTGTGCCGAAATGAAGCGGCTGGCAGTGGCGGTTGCTCCAAATCCGACGTCGACACGAAGGACAGGTGTAAAACTGTCGTTTTTGTTCACTTTCTAATGCGAATCCAATCTACAGCCTCTACAGCGAATAGTGCACGAAGGTAGGCATTGGCGCGAAAGACACGAAGGCCAGGTTTGAAACTACGGTTTTCGTAATTCCCCTGGTAGGAGTTCTATTAGGCCTGATACAAAAGAAGAGTACACGAAGGTGAGGTTTGTAGCGACACGAAGACCAGGTGCACCCCTACTACTACTACTACTACTACTACTACTACTACTACTACTACTACTACTACTACTACTACTACTACTACTACTACTACTACTACTACTACTACTACTACTACTACTACTACTACTACTACCTACTACTACTACTACTACTACTACTACTACTACTACTACTACTACTACTACTACTACTACTACTACTACTACTACCTCCCCGCATCCAAAGTGGGGTTCTTGTCTTCTCTGCACACCCCGCGCAGGAACACTCACCCCACCCCCTCTCCTCTTCTGCCTTCGCACACTCACTCACTCACTCATCATCATCACCACTCACTCACACTCACACTCACTCACACTCTCTCATCATCAACATCAGCATCATCACTCGCGCTCTCTCACACGCTCAGTCACTCACATACTCATCATCATCATCATCATCATCATCATCACTCGCACTCTGTCACACGCTCACTCATTCACAAACTCACCTGGAGGAAGTCTCAGGCGGGAGTTCGTCTGTGAGAAAATTGTGAGGAAGTCTCAGGCGGGAACCCCCTCCCTATGGGGCCCGCAGTTCATGTTGGTAATCCGAGCGGGTCATCCAAACCCTGTAACTGTCGTCACTTTTGGGCTCCTCAAGCTTGAGTACGGAGGAAGTCTCAGGCGGGAGCCTCGTCTGTGAGTGAATTGCGAGGAAGTCAGAAGCGGGAACCCCTCCCTATGGGGCCCGCGCTTCATGTTGGTAATCCGAGCGGGTCATCCAAACCCTGTAACTGTCGTCACTTTTGGGCTCTTCAGGCCTGAATTTGGAGGAAGTCTCAGGCGGGAGCCTCGTCTGTGAGTGAATTGTGAGGAAGTCTCAGGCAGGAGCCCCCTCCCTATGGGGCCCGCAGATCACGTTGGTAATCCGAGCGGGTCATCCAAACCCTGTAACTGTCGTCACTTTTGGGCTCTCGGGCTGCCAGAACGCCATTCCCGGGCCACATTGTGCATGCCCGGAGCCAACTGTAGGCCACTTCGTGTTCTTCCTGTTCCCAGAACACCACTCCCGGGCCACATTCTGGGGGCCGCGCCGCGGTGCAGTACCTCGGCCGCGGCGTCGACCCGTGCACGCTCGAGGGGTGGACCGAAGACAAGGACGAGGACGGCCGGGCGGTGTACGTGAGCCCAGAAGGCCTGCGCTTCCCGGACATCCAGACGGCCTACGAGCACGACGTCACGACCAAGGCGGCGCGCGACGCGCCCGATCATCGCCAGGTGGTGTCGTTCCTGGCGAAGTTCATGCAGGACATGGGCTCCGAGCGCGAGGAGGCCCCGCAGACGGCAGACGGCTTCCGCATCGTGAGGACCACGAGCGCGCTGGACGACTGGCTGCATCGCGGCGACGACCCAGTCCTCAAGCACATGAGTTTGCAGGTGCACGCCACGTGGGTCTACCGCTGCAAGAAGCCCGACGGCCTGTGGAGAGACAAGGCCCGCGCGCGGCACCTGGACTTCGACTTCGCGCCGCACTACGCGCTGTACGCGACCCACAAGCAGCGCCTGGCCCCCGAGCTCCGCGTGCCCCTCTTTGAGGGCTTCACCATGCCGACGATGAACAAGGACTGCGAAACCGCATGCCTGTACAAGCAGCTGCTCCTCAGGCCATTGCGGGTGGAGAACGCGGAGACGCCAGAGGACGAGCGCATGCTGCAGGCGCTCGCGCCCCTGATGGAGGCCCCTCGGGCGCCCCGTGACAAAGACGTGCGCGGGGCCAACTGCTTCACGCGAGCTTGGATGCACTACCGGGCTCAGGCCGACGAGGAGGCCCGCGTCGCCGCGGCCCGTTTCCTGGCGCGGCACGAGTGGCCCTCCATCTGGGAGACGAAGGAGGTGCAGGAGGAGCAATTCGCGGTGAACGGGGCGTGGGCGCAGGGCATGGACGAGGAGGGCGACTCGCTGGACCCCGCCCACTGCCCCGACAGGGAGAAACCA